CCTCAGTCTTCTTGACTTGTCCAGGGCGTCCTTGCCCACCTTCGAGACCTTTCTCTTTATCCTGACAACTCGCCAAGTTCTACCACAGTGTTTTGTGCACCTTTTAGAAGCAGTCCATCGTCAGTATCTTCCTGCGAGATGGCACGCAGGCATTTGCCTTGATATCTGGCGTGCCAGTTCTGCTCAAAGACTCCACGCCCCAGTCACGATGTTCCTCAGCCTGTTAATGTACAAGCTCTGTAAGACGCCCTTGGCCGGTATGGTGAGCCTACCGTTCATTTCCTCAAGTCGGCCGTTCAGCACTGAATCGCCCGCCTCTAGGTGGGCCTTGTCGTCCCCGTCCTTCGCCAGCTCGCACATACTCCTAGACCTGCGCCGCTACATCCCGAAGCACGACGCGACAGGCACGCGCCTCCCGGCCGACAGGAGAGCATCGCAAAGCAAGGGATCCGAGAAACAGCTGCATACATGCGGTTCGCGACTGTCATGCAGACTGCAGACTTGGCTTATGAAAATGCCGGAGGTTCCTTGACTGCAGCGGTACGCGTGAGTGAGAACCGTTCAGATTGGTTGGCCTGCAGGCTAGGTATGCTTGCCACGCTAGGCTCCGTGTGTGCGAAGTAGGGCAGCTCCTTCGATGGGAGGGCGATGCGACGTCGCGAGCATGTGCAAAGCGCTTGCGGCGATCGGCGATGTCGCCCAAGGACCCTTGTCACATCGCTCGAATTCATGAGGGCGAAAGCTCCTCGTGAAACCGAAGGCGACTTTCGCCGATACCGAGCACAACGTGTCATGAATACTACGTAATTAAACCTATGTCTAGACTGTTGAAGTCCGTGTGGAAAGTATAGTACAGCACACGAATACTGGCATGTAGTCGTAGGGCGGACTCCCCGCAGAGCACGCGAGAAGTCCTGGTAATTATTGCGATCATAGTCAGCAATGGCATACTGACGGCCTCGTAATTATCATGTCCACCTGCTCCGCCTCTGCACCCTCTTTTCAATAGTCAGGGCGTCCGGCGAACTGCCGAGCTATAGACCCCGCTCACTGGTCCTTCTTTGACTCTGGAATGGCATCGCCGAGCGGCTGGCCAACACGGACCTTTTGGCCGTCCTTGACGAGGAACTGGAAGTCCTGCGGCGCCTCGAACACAAGCACGACCGTGCTCCCGAGGCAGAAGCCGCCCATCTCCTGCGCCTTGAGCAGCGGCTGGCCGTCGAGGATGGGCGAGGCGGCCGAGTAGACCGCCTCCGTGTACGTCCCCAGCGGGTGATCGCGCCGTGAGCCGACATTCGTGCGCAGGTCCTACCGACAAGGGCGGTTAGAGAGGACGTAAGGAAAATTACGGAAACGTTCGGGAACGCACCTTGTCAAAGTTAATTTTGATACTGCCGACATTGGTCGCGCCGACGGGTACCATGCCGAAGAAGCCGAACTTCCAGCGACCAAGCAAGGCGACACGTTCGTTCAGGACGAACAGGTTCTCCAGCCGCTTCGCCATCCACGGCGACACCGAGAAGAGGTCACCTGCGCCAGTCCCACGTCAGACCGGGCGGCGATAGCGGACAGAGCGGGGCACACACGTACCGACAAAGTGTCTGCGCTTCTCGACCACCCACGCCGTCGGGCTGTGGAACCTGTGGTAGTCGCCCGGCGCGAGGTAGATGACGCAGAAATAAAGCGCGTTCCCGGGGGCGACTGCCAAGCTCTTTCGCCGCTCGAGGGTGGGGCGGGCGCCCATCTCCGACGCGACGGACGCGTCATGGGCAACGACGTCCTTGAGGGAGCCCTCCTGCGACACCGACGCGTCCGTACGCTCTCCGTGCTTCGTCGCGGACGTGCCCCTGTCCACGCCCGTGGCTATTGCAGAGGCCGAGGGGCCCGAGCCCGATACCGGTGTGCTCGTGCCTGAACCCGAGGGCGTGTTGTGCGCCCTGGTGCCGAGTAGCTCTTGGAGACTGTACTCAATGCCGTTGATGTCCGCGAAGTGTTTGTCGTCTGCCTCAGCCATATCACGTGTCGCGAACATAACTTCTTTGCGCGAGGTGCCGCGCGTCTCGATGCCGAGCAACGCGTCGAGGGAGTAAGTGCTGCCCTTGATCTGCTCGACGCGTCCTCCCTTAATTGTGCCGAAATGCAAGACGGTACCGTCTGCAGGGCTAACCTATGAAGCACAAGAGGTATAAGCAAAGGGTATAACGCGCATATATGCGGTTTGCGTACCAGGATAACATCGGCGACTGGTCGTGTGCCATCCTTTAACTTCCGGTAGAAGAAGTCGCCGAGGCTTGCATATTCCTTGAGGTCCTTCTCCACTTCGTCAAGATTGCATCCAAATATCCACGCATAGACCTTGAAGCCTGCAGGGCGGGCCCAGACTGGGAGCTCGAGAGAGTTGACGTATCCCCAAACGCGAGAGACGTTCCGCAGAGGAAGTGCACCCATAACGTGCACCTATAAAGTTCTAAGTATGCATGCAGCCTTAGCAAAACGAATACTTACTGTCCACGGACCCTTCAGCTTCACGACTTCATGGCCCTCCTCGTCAACATAAACCTCCTTCTGGCCTAGCCTTTTGCGATATTGAATAGCAATGAGGAGGAGAGCTCCTACTGCAATGGGAAGAGGGTACCAGGTTGTAGGTGTTTGCTTCCACGCGTTTGCCAGCCTTTCTGTGGTAGGCAGACCTCTGAGACATAGTCGACACGTCATGATCGCGTACTTACGATGGAGCGGCACATCCGGTCCCCCAAACGACTCTGGTGGTGGTATGCCACCCTTGGACGAGTAGAAACGGTGATTTGCCTTGTTCAACA